CCCCCCGAGGACTCACGCGCACCCCCCCCTCACCTGAAACTGCAGCAGCTTCTCCGTCTGCTCCTGGGTGAGCTCCCGCTCCTCAGGCGCCGCCATCTTGCCGCCGCCTCTACGCTCCTGACCCGTCCGCACCGTCACCCGCCGGAAGTGACGTCAGGCGCAGCCACTTCCGGACGCCCGAACTGCCGCCCGCCCGGCGGCATGGCCGCTAGGGGGCCCTCGGCCGCCGCTCGGATGATTCCAGAAACGGCTCGAGAGCGACGGGGTGGAGACCACAGTTGCCCCGCAACGACGTCCGGGGACGCCCGAGCTCTCCGCAGAGCCTCCACACACACATGCCTGCAGGAGAGCTTGAAAAGATCTCTCTAGAAGACTCCGGGGCAAGGCTCCCTTCCAGGACGGCTGTGGATGACAGGCCTCAAGATGTGGCGGGAAACGTGGATCCCGCGCTTCGAGGCCCCGATCCCCGTGGCCTGGATGTTTCCAGAAGCTCCTGACTTTGTCCCTGGAGGTTTTCCCCCCCCCCCCCCCAACCCCTCGAATGCACAGACACAGCCTGGGGACCCAGAAGCGATGGGGAGCTGCCACGGAGACTTGGGGGTCACTCCCTGGGAGCGTTTGCACCCCGCTTCCTATGCTTCTCCCACACTGAAGTGATGGATCCAGCCAGCCCAGGACACAGAGGCTGTGGGGGAGCCCGCACCCGGCCTCAGGTCATCCTGCACCTGACCTCAGAGCCTAGCCCACGGGTCGCCTCCCTGTGATGGGGTTCGGGCCTAGCTACCGCCTTGCAAGTGCTGGACATCCGTGGGCAGATCTCTCGAACTCCACGTGGCCAAGAGTTGGATGAGATTCCCCTCTATGGATCCTCCACACACCGCCCTAGACTCTTCTCCGAGGAGCAGGTACTGGCCGCTCTCGACTGTAATCTAGTTAACTCTGGAGGCTGAGACTTGAGGATCGTAGTTCCAAGCCAGCCTGGACGGAGAAGTCCATGAGATGCTTATCTCCAGCTAACCAAGAAAAAGCCAGAACTGGAGCTGTGGCTCGAGTAATAGAGCACCAGCTAAGGGACAGTGCCCAGGGCTTCAGTACCAGCACACACAAAAAAAGGCTGGGTTTGAGAAGTGGTAGAGCACTTGCCTTGCATGCATGAGGCCCTGGGTTCGATTCCTCAGCATCACATAAGAAAAAGCCGGAAGTGGG